ACCCAGATGGACAAGCTGGCTCATCTCGTCCTGTGGCCCCACCCAGGAACTGACTCTGTGCAAGAAGACAGCTCCACCTCCCTATGACTTCATCTCTGACCAGTCAGCACTCCTAGCTCACTGGCTCCCCCCACCCACCAAGTCATCCTTAAAAACTGTTCTCTAAATGCTGGAGGAGACTGATTTGAGTAATAGTAAAACTCTCGTCTCCCGCATAGCCACTTTGCCTGAATTACTCTTTATTGCAATTCTCCTTTCTCGATGAATTGGCTCTGCCTAGGCAGTGGGCAAGGTGAACCCCTTGGGCAGTTACAATAGTGTGTCTGCCTGTTTTGTTTTGTTTTGAGATAGGGTCTCATTCTGTCGGCCAGGCTGGAGTACAGAGGTGTAATCATGGCTTACTGTAGCCTTGACCTCCCAGGCTCAGGTGATCCTCCCATCTGAGCCTCCTAAGTATCTGGAATTATAGGCACATGCCACCACATCAGGCTAGTTTCTGCATTTTTTTTTTTTTTTTTTTTTTTTTTTTTTTTTTTTTTTTTTTTTTTTTTTTTTGTAGAGATGGAGTTTCTCCATGTTGCCTAGGCTGGTTTTAAACTCCTGGGCTCAAGTGATCCAGCAGTCTTCACCTCCCAAAGTGCTGGGATTAGAGGTGTGAGCCACTGCACCCAGCCTGTGTTTGCTTTTTAGAAACAGTTCCTAAGCATCTTTTTGGTGACTCATAACCCCTAGAGTTATGATCAGTTAAATAAAACAAGAGTTTCCTTAATACTTTTTAAATAAGATAACCTATTGAAACAGTACTAAGCACATGTTTATATGCTTTTAACTTCTAATTTTATATCATATGGACAGACTGACTGTATTTGAGTCTGTTAACAAAAGTTTTTTCCACCTTGAAAAATTATGCTGTAGATGAATATGTCTCTAAAAACTGTAAGATGGTGTAGTCATACAATTTGCTATTTTGTCACACAATGCTGTATGTGACAGACAATTCACAAGTGTCTACTTCTAGATTCCTCTGTTGAACATTGTAATCAACATGTGTAATTAAAACTACTAGAAATGATGAGGGAGAAAAATGAAACAACTTCCTGTGCAAAGCATAAAGGAAAGTAGGATCTGTTTTTGATAAGAAAGCATATGAGTTATGAAGAATGTGTTTTTGTTGAAGGAAAGGATGAGCAATTTTGTCCTAACATAGTTTAAAGGTTTTCTCAGGAAGAGAAAAAGAGGACAAAATGCCTAAATGAACATGGAAAGATGGAATCGTTCTCTAAGGAAAAAAAAGAGAGAGAGAAAAATCTTATGTGGTCAAGATACACTAAGTGAATTTTATTATAAGTTTTTTTTTGTAGATAAGCTTTACTATCAATAGTGTAGCAATGCAGTACTGGAGTTTGATTTTCTCTCTCTGATAAAAGGTCAAAGTTTTCTTGAATTATTGGTCTGCTCTTTTTGTTTGTTTGGTGGGTTTTTTGAGATGGAGTTTCGCTCTTGTTGCCCAGGCTGGAGTGCAGTGGTGCGATCTTGGCTCACTGCAACCTCCACTTCCTGGGTTCAAGTGATTCTTATGCCTCAGCCTCCCAAGTAGCTGGAATTACAGGCATGCATCATCATGCTGGCTAACTTTGTAGAGACAGGGTTTCACCATGTTGGTCAGACTGGTCTCAAAATATTGACCTCAGGTTATCTGCCCACCTTGGCCTCCCACAGTGCTAGGATTACAGGTGTGAGCCACCATGCCCAGCCTGGTCTGTTCTTAAGAGATTTTAAGAGGTTATTTTCTCTTACCTGTTGAGTAGTCTTACTAGGAAACAAAGATTCTGTGTCTAATCAAATATTTCTTGTGTTTCATGTTTTCTTTATCATGTTTTTGATTACTTAAGAAAACAGTCTTCTCAATATTGAAAGAGCTACTTTAAAAAAAAAAACATGCTATTTTCTATATTTTCTTTAAAAATTCTTTATTTTCATTTAACTTAAATGGATAACTACTGCTTCATAGTAAATTGTGATCCTATTTAACCAAGTATTCAAGCCTTTTGTAATTTTTGACAACTTCATCCAAGTCAAAATGTAAATGAAGAATTTTGACCTCAAACTAATTTTGAGATTTCCCAGAGGTTCCCTAGAAAATCTCAAAGGATTTGTTCTCTCACTTGGTGAAAAGAAAGATGTTAAAGGAATTAGCTTTATTTGATATGTTAAATTACATAAAGCATTGCCAAATAAGAAGGGATGTTTAACCTTCTTTATATTATATTTGTATGTGTATAAGTGTTTCAGAAATCGTATAAAATTCCTAGAAGTTTTCACTGTCCTACTGTCCATGATATGTCCTGGTATAAAGTTATGAGTCATAATTTCCATTATTGACGTGCAATGTTGTATGTCACAGAAACAATTGACTTTCCTTGTGAACTGTGGCATTTTGTGTCTTTCGTCATTCCAGACAGTTACTGTTTTACTCTGATGCTTTTTTGAAAGCTTTTGCAATCAGCTACAGTCCAAAAATTCTTTGTCTTCAAGGAGATTTTTCTATAAGACTCTGCCAAGTACCATGATGCCTCTAAGATTGTACCATTAGACTGAACTAAGTAAACATTTCCAGAACTGAGGGAGAAACTGATGGATTTATAAACCTGCTCACCCAAGATCAAGTAGAACAAGAATTAATTCTGTAGGACTCAATGTGGAGACAATTATAATTTTTCTGAATTTTCTTTGAAATATTTTTTGTTCTTTAATGTCTTGGTTTTTAGATTTGAAGGACTCTCTGCTTCTGTTTTCTTAGGCTGTGTATAACTTACAACAATTTGGTAATTACAGTTTCATAAACAAAAATGAAGCATTTATATTTTTGTCCCACCTGATCACTCTAGAATTTGGATATTATGATTTTCAGGACCATAAAATTATTTGCATTAGTTTAATAAAAATCGATTCTCCTTACACCAGGACACAGTTGGAAACATTGGTTATATTACCAAGGCTTTGCCTGGAATGTCATATTTGAGATTGATACACAGAATCAGATATGACCAGACAGTTTTTAAAAACTGAGGTTGATTTGATGGAGTTGGAGAAACTGACCTGGTACCTGGCTCACAGGGTCCCACATCCCACATGTGAGTGAAGAAGGTCACTTCCTGGCAGATCCAGGAACTCTGGGACAGCTTGAGACCTTCAGAGAGAGAAATTCACCCCAGTCTTTAGGTACCACAAGTGAAGTCTGATGGTGAGTTTTTGGCCGCACTTTCTAGACTCAAAAAGCTTTAAAAAATCTAATCTGAGATTCCTTATAAAAAGCTCCAGCAGAGAAAACTCAATTTATGCGGTCCATTACCATTCTTGCTGCACTTATGCAAATAATCAGACCAAATCTTGTCAGACATGATTTAGTTTTGAGACAAGAATAACATTACTTTGGTTATCTTGATCAAAAGAAGGGGATGACTACAGAGCCGAATTTTGTTTTAATGAAAAATGACAGCACACCCTTGGTATTCTACTTTTTTAGCCTTTGGTAAACGCCACCTTGCTTTCTACTTCGTTATCTACCCGTAAAAGGGACTGGATCCTGAAGTCTTCTGGAGTCCTTCAGTGTCTGGCTAAAACTTCCCAGGGTGACGTTTCCAGTCTTCCTTTTCTCCTCCTGATGAGTGTTACTGAGAATTAAGTCCGACAACTCAGGCCTTCCGTGGGACCATCTGAAAGTCCCCGTGTGCTGAAGGTGGACACATCCATGCTCTGCTCTGAGCATAACCATGACTGTGGCTCCAATGGTCATGATGCCACCGTGGACGCACCCCCTGCAGACGAGGAAATCCATCCGTGCCGTGTCATCTGAAGATGCCTCGAGCCCCAAATCCAGAAATCTTCTCAATAGACTGCCCTCTGCATTCGGGAACTGGGTTTCCAACTACACGTCTTTCTCTACTCTTTTTCATAGACATTCCCCTCATTAAATTCCTGACTAGTTGTACCATCCAGCAAATGTCCTCCACCAGATGAAGAATGAACTTACCTTGTTCAAAGGGAAAAAGAACCTCTCTTCTTTCTTGAACAAGAGGAGGGACCAAGAAATCCTCGTTCCTTGACGTGCCTCATGCCAGGCCCCTCCGAGTCTTCTCTTTGACCAGGCTTTGACCCTAGCTTCTGTCTTTGTCTGCTTTTTTTCCATTTTTAGTAGGCATCCTGTGAAGTCTTTTGGTGGAAATCCCATCTTGGCCCGTTCACCCTTGATATCTGATGAAATTCCTCCCTTCCATCTTTGATTCCCTTGGCCTGCTTTCAGGCCTGCGCTCCTGCAGGTCAAGTCAGCAGAGAATTCTCCTACCTCTTAGCAGTGTTCATCTGTGGACCCGCCCTGATTCTTGGCTGCAAATCTCCACTCTCCCTGTATTTGGAGTGGAGCCACTCACTGCTACTGTGAGACGCCACGGAGTAGCCCACTTTGAGTAAAGTCTGCCTGCCCATCTTTAACAAATGTCACAAATACTTTTTAACTGGTATGAGTTGCTATAAAGGCTTTTGGTAATTGTGTTAGTGCGATTATGACACTGTGGATAATGCTTTTATCTCTTAGCAAGAAAATGTTTTACATGAAGTGGTAAGACATCTGGGACAGTGCTAAAACACTCCCCAAACAAGAAAAGTATGTGTATGTGGTATGTGTGGTGTGTGCGTGCAGAAAAAACTGAAATATGCACAATAATTGAAACTGAGGGTGAATACATGAGATTCATGATATTCTTCCAAGTTAGACATTTTCCATAATAAAAAGTTAAAATTAGTAACAAATGCAACTCTCCCATGGACATCTAGATTTTAAAAGGTCTTCAAAGATAGAAAGACTTTTCAGCTACATTCATTCCCCAAGGAATAAATGGTAAATTTGCATAGGTAGGGAATAAGAGGAACCCGTGGGAGAAGAGGCCACCGTCCACCTGATTCAGTTCTCTTTCTGCTGAGCCATCCCCGCGGGGCCCTACCTGGAGTCATAGTTCTTGGCCGGAGCTCAGTTTCTTGCCAGCAGCACAGCAGGAGGACAAAGCAGAGGGTCCCAGCTCCTTGGCTCACTGCCATGCTCCCTCCAGCTGAAGGAGAAGGACGTTCTGAAGGTCTGCAGTGTCCCACCTTTGGTCTCCAGGACACTATGGAATGTCAGGACCTGTGACATCACAACCAGGAAGAGAGCTGGGTCCTCCTATTGGGGAGGTCATGTCCAGGGACCAGGAAGGGAACTGGCATCTTCCTTGGGGTGGGCAGAGTTTCTGTCCAGAGTCTGTGATTGGGAAGGAGGGAGGAGGCTGGTGGGGGTCTAAAGGTAACAGAGATCCTCTCCACTATCTCTGATTGCCTGTTCTGGTGACTTCCTCTGTCCCAAGCACCCTGAGGACTGAAGGGGTAGATGCTAATCAGGACTTAATGGGCCAGTGGCCAAAAGTCAACAAAATCTGCTTCCATGGAAAGAGGTATATTTGAAGGATGCTGGAGAGGTCATTGAATTATAGAACAAGTGCCAGAACCAGCACATCCGGAGGGTCTAATCCCCTCTTAAAGGACCCCTGAAGAACAGAGGCCAATGGCTCCATGTCCCACCGGTTCTCCCCTACCCTCAAAGTTCTGGGGTCATGAGGAACAAGGGACAGTTGACTCCAGGGTTCAGCCTCCCTTCCCCCACGCCTTCTTTCTCAGCATCAGCCCCAATCTCTCCCTGGCAGTGAGACTTTCATCACAAGAGGAGAACATGGCTGCATTCCCATGCTATCATTCTCCCAACTAAATCTCCTAGAGTTTCTAGAGCTTTCTCCATCAGTGCAGTGACACAACCCCAAAGAAGTCATACTGACTGGCTCCCCTGGATCCCATCTCACTCCTGCACCAACGCCTACATCCGGGGCTTAGAGTGGAACAGCTGGTCTAGACTGGGCCATGGGTGGGGTCCCAGGTAGATACCCCTCCGATCCCAGCTCTGTGGCAGAGAGGGCTTGTGTGTTTCTCTGTTCTCACACTGCTATAAAGAACTCCCCTGGGACTGGGTAATTTATAAAGAAAAGAGGTTTAACTGACGCATAGTCTCGCCTGGCTGGGGAGGCCTCCGAAATCTTACAATTATGATGGAAGGGGAAGCAGGCACTTTCTTCACAAGATGGCAGGAGAGAGAGAGAGTTCATGAAGGAGGAACTCTCAAACACTTATAAAACCATCAGCTTTTGTGAGAACGCATCATGATAACAGCACGTGGGAATCCACTCCCGTGATCCGATCACCTCCCACCCAGTCCCTCCCTCAGCACATGGGATTATGAGGATTATGATTCAAGATGACGTTTGGGTGAAGACACAGAGCCAAGCTGTATCAGCTGGTCCTGGATGCACACACTAACAAGGGCCTTGAGGCCTGCTCGGGACCCCAAGTCTGGCTGGCCCACCGGGGATCTCTGGCTCTTTCATCTTTTTATTGCTAGTCTGGGGACCCACAGCACACTTTTGTTCAGGTTTTCCTCTTGGCAGCTCGAGTGGTAGCCATTCTACCTTGAGGCATGGGGAGGATATTTCAGATTTTCAGCATGTCCATAAAGGCACAAGCATGGCTGACATTTGCAGAAACCCTGTGGGATCCAAGTCCCACTCTGAGTTACTGAATGGTCCAAATGAGACACTCACCTATATAACCCAGGCTCTTGCTATTCAAAGTGTCATCCTGGGGCCATTTGGGCCTAAGAGGCTGACTTGTTTGGTGCAAGAAAAGGCTTGTTGCCTCGGGCTTACTCTCCTTTCTGCTGTGACCAAGCCCAGGCTGCCTGCTAGAGGCAGACAGATCACATGGAGGGAGGCCTCAGCCATCCCAAGCCCAAGCCAGAGCTCCCATGACAGCAGAACCCTGTACCACTGCCTGTCAAACGACACCCACTGCACCAAGGGAGGACATCTGGCTACGGCAGACCAGGGACTTTGACCTCCAGGTGGAGGACGAGGAATTTGATCAGGGCTGGGGATCATGCCTCATTGAGAAGAGGGGTCAAAGGAGCCTGGATGGTTTGGTGGAGGAAGAGTCATTGTCAAGGCTGCCTGAAGTCGGTGACTTAAAACAGCCCACATGTGGCAGGGTGTGCTGCTCAGGCCTGTAATCCCAGCACTTCGGAAGGCCAAGGCGGGCGGATCGTGAACTCAGCAGTTTGAGACCAGCCTGACCAACATGGTGAAACCCTGTCTCTACTAAAAATACAAAAATTAGCTGGGTGTGCTCGCGCATGCCTGTAATCCCAGCCACTTGGGAGGCTGAGTCAGGAGAATCGCTTGAGCCGGGGAGTCAGAGATTGCAGTGAGCTGAGATGGTGCCACTGCACTCCAACCTGGGAAACAAGAAGCAAATTCTGTCTAAAAAAAAAAGAAAAAAAATCGGCCCACATGTGATTGCTCACAACCTCTTTGGTTGGCCCTGGTGGCTGCTGGCCCAATGTGGCTCACGGACATGCCTGGGGCCTCAGCTAGGATGTTGGGGCTTGGGATGGCTGAGGCCTCCCTCCATGTGGTCTCTCTGCCTCTAGCAGGCAGCCTGGGCTTGGTCACAGCAGAAAGGAGAGTAAGCCTCAATGCAACAAGCCTTTTCTTACACCAAACAAGTCAAACTAAACCCAGATACAGGGGGGAGGAACATATTTGAGCACGGAAATGTGGTGGTCAGACTAGCTTAGTTCATAGTGCTCTGCCCCCTTGTTTCATAGATTTGTTTAGCTACTTGGAAAGAAGAGGTCAGAGTGTCTGATATGTTTTAAATCAGTTGCTTTATGAGATTCTAGTTTGAAGAATCTCTCACCAACCCTTGGGAGGTTGATGGCAAATTTATTTTTCCTATCCTTTGCTGTCTTTTAGCAACAATTTTACACATAATTCCCTTTGCATTTGTATTTGCATGCAACATTAAAACCAGAAGGGAATTTAACAAATTAATCTATTTATGCCAGTTTCTTTGAATGGAGACTTTAATTCATTTGCATAACTGTCATAGCAGCGGCATGTGACTCCTGGAAGTTCTTTTCTCCATGGTTGCATTTCAGTTGAGAGATTGTCTCTGTCATGTGCCAACAGAGATTTGTTCCCTGAATCTTCCAGGGGAAAGAGGAAGGAACTCTTTATGGCTCTTTTTAAATAAACAGGCCTTCATTATTATTTTAATGTTTGGAAATGTAAAAATTTTATAAATTAAAAGAAAAATGCAAGGCCAGTTCCAGTGGCTTACACCTGTTATCCTAGCACTTTGGGGGGCCAAGGTGGGTAGATCACTTGAGTCTAGAAGTTTGAGACCAGCCTGGGCAACACAGCAAAACCTCATCTCTACAAAGAATACAAAAATTAGCCAGGCATGGTGGCAAATGTCTGTAGTCTCAGCTACTCGGAAGGCTGAGGCAGGAGGATCACCTGACCTTGGGGAGGCAGAGGCTGTAGTGAGCTGTGATTGTGCCACTGCACTCCAGCCCGGGCAACAGAATGAGATCCCATCTCAGGGAAAAAAAAAAAAAAAAGCCAGGCATGGTGGCTCATGCCTGTAATCCCAGCACTCTGGGAGGCTGAGGTGGGTGGAGCACCTGAGGGCAGGAGTTCTAGACCAGCCTGACCAACATGGTGAAACCCTGTCTCTACTAAAAATACAAAAACTAACTTGAGCTGTGATTGTACCACTGCACTGCAGCCAGGGCAACAGAGTGAGACCCCATCTCAGAAAAAAATACCAAAACAAGAAAACGCAAACATTCTTAGTTGCATTGTCCAAAATTAACACTGTTAGCAACTTAGAATATTTGCTTTTGATGTTTTTAATTCTTGAAAAATCATGTTTTTGTTTTTATGAAGTGTAATAATATGTACTCACTATAGAGAATTTAAGCAATGAAACTATAAAGAGGTGAAAATTTAAAAATGGCCCCAGTTCCCCCACAGCCACGACCTCCATGAATATCAGGTTAACATTGAGGAAGACACCTCTTCTTTTATGTTTATGTACACAGGCTGGTGGGATGGATGGGTAGACATGGTGTGAGGAATTCTCCTGTGGGTGCAGACACCTGCGCAGTGGACGGATATAAGGTAATAAAGGTGGGAACGCACCACCTCGCTCCTGCAACAAAAATAATTCATCAAATTGAGTCAGATTTAATGGAGGGAAAAAAGCCTGAAGCACAACCGAGGGAATTGAAGAACATCCAGTAGATCCTCACTGTGAGTCGTTGCTCAGAGCTCTGTCTAAGGAGAGGAGGGGACACTGGGAAAAAGTGAGGTATTTGGAGTCAATGCATTTTTAAAACATGTACGAGTGTCACTTTTACACAGGAACAGCCAACTTCCTGATCTGAAAGACGAGAACGGCTTAATTCCCCGCTTCCTCTCACTTCCCTCCTCCCTATTGTGTGCCTGCTTTCTTTTGGTTCGATGTTAATTGGCCATGAACTTCTTATTTCCTCTAAGAGCTCAGGGGTGTTCCATCCCAGGACTTCTTCAGACCTGAGTACTTAGGGCGTTGGCTTTAGAATCTAACAACTACAAGGTGGGGAGCAATATTCACAGGCCAGCCCTCCTTCCCTAAAAGTTGTTACAGTCTTCCCATTATAGATCCTGAGTGCTGTGTGGAGCACTCTGTGGGTCGCCTGAGATGGACCCCCACTTGCAGACAATCTGCTTTGGCTGTGTGAAGTATTCTTCTTTAATCTTGAAATTAAGCAGCTTAATTAGGATTTACGTTGGTGTTTCTGTTCTCTGTTAAACTTCCCGGGAAGAAGGCATATCCTTTTGATCTGCAGACCCAATCTTGATTCACTTCAGGCACTTTTTAATCTCGTGTTTTTGAATACGTCATCAGGTCCATCTCTCTGGTTCTCTACCTGGGGCACCTGTTTCCTTCCACTGGACTTTCTTTATCTGTCTTCCTTAGCCATTCACATTTCCTTACTTGCTGTAAGCTTCCTGTCTTTTTTTTTTTTTTTTTTATTTTTTATTCACTGTGTTTTTATCTGTGGTAATAATTTATAGAAGTATTTATTTTGTTTCTTGCTGTTTCTGTTATCATATCATTGCTGTTTATAACCGTTTAGATCCTGAATGTGTTTCAGTAACTTCATTTTCACCCAAT